AGAGTTAAACAACTAAAAGTCAATGTTAGAAAGGAAAATGATGAATATAAATCATTGGCAATTTAACCAATGATTTCATTTTAGAAATCAGAAGTAAAATAATTTGAAATAATGGAAACATGATAGAAGAAAAGGTTAGAACATGTGAACATATTAAAAAGGTCTCAAAGTTAAACCATCAATTTAAAGCGATATCAAAAGAGAATGTGACAATTATTATTGTTGGACCAAATGATGCACCACGACTTGAACCAAAACCTTAAGACATTAGTTTAATGGACCTTTTCTACTTATAAAGTCTTTCATTCCTCACCGCATATTCAATATGACATTTCACACTTGAATAAACCAAACACATAAAATACCAACAAATACCTTCGACTAAGTATTGAAAATCAGGAATGCAATCCCTTATGCATGTGAAGGGTTCTACCCAACTATTTACACGAACAAACACAAATCTCCTCTCATTCAAAGAACAATTTCTCTTCAGCAACAACAATTAGAAATCGAAAAACAAACAAAACATATGAATTAAGTTATCAAATAATCGCATTAAATCATTTAACCAAAGTACATAACAACACACCAAATCATATTTTAACTCATGATAGTAGATAATGGAGGACCAAAATGTGAAGTAAATCTGTCGACGACGTGGAAGTGAAAAGAAGATTTGAGGGAGAAGATAGTAACATATGAGACATAAATTTGAAATTGTTATGAGACATATTAAAAAAGTGTTTGTTTTTGTTATTTGTAAATTTCATTAAGATATAAAAAGTAAGTACGAAATAAAGATAAGAGTAAAGACATTTTTTGTTTTTTCAAATTTTGTGTGTGTCCTCCTTCTTGGAAATTTAAAAACCTAAAATAGTCTCATGAAACAATGTTATTAAAATCGTATCGGTTATCAAACCGATCAGGGTATTGGTATAGTGGTACAGTGGTTCAACCAGTGGTTCAGTAATTAAACCGCATGCTGGTTAAACCGGACATTCATGCTTATATTTATATATATGTAAATCTATAACAAAAAATTTCAAATAGGTAGATATTCAAATTTATAATTCATATTCATAATCTACTCCAAATTCATATAAACAAACAACCTTAAGTCTTTAACAAATCAAAGTCTAAAGTGCAAAACATATATCAATTCAAAAGTATCACTTAACAAAAGTAAAATATAAGTAAATGACACAAATTTACAAATCAATTGAGATTCTTGGAAATACAAACTTTATGAATAAATAAAATAAAGGTTATTACCTAATAATTGTTCTAAAAAGATAAGTCAAGAAACCACTTGTGATATTTTAACCTATTGGAACTGAACTGCAACCAAGATAACAAGCTAATTACTATATCTAAAGCTTTAACTTAAACTTAACCCAATTGGGAAGAAATTTGGAGATGAAAATGATACTTTCACACCTCTTTTGGAGGCATAGGAGGTGCATGGAGAAGAAATATGAGAAAAGTAAATTAAAAGTGAATGGTATGTGCTTTTTTTGGAGGAGAAAGAGGTCTGTGAAGAAAGGGTTTTGTGCACTGTGTGGGGTTTGGGAAGAGGGGTATGGGGTTTGTGAAAACGATATGCAATTTATGAAGAAAGTTAGAAAGGGGTACACTAATTTGGGGTTAATTTTTTTTAAAAAAATACATGTATGAACCGGTCGGTTCACCGGTTTTTGCACCGGTTCACCGGTTTTTGCCCCGATTCACCGGTTTGCACCGGTTTTGATGATTGCCCGATATAACAGCTGTACAGTACTGATTATGGTTCCGGTCCGGTTTTTATATCATTGCCCTGAAATATTAAATATGGATCAAATTAATATTTTTACCATTTTTATTGTCTATTATGTAATAAATTAAAATACACCTAAAGAAAAGAGAGAGAAATGAACTATGTTAAAAAAACTATATTGGATAAAATCCAAATCCCTAAACTACAATGTCTACATCCTAAAAGAGAATGATGTAGGAAGATCTCATAATATGAGTTACTCTTCTTCACGTTCATACCAATCTAAAAAAGAAACAAAAATATCAGTAAAAAAAAACTAAAACTGCAAATAACAAAAAAAAAATGAAGATTATTTTATTTCTAAAGTTACTGTTTAAAAGTGTTATTAATTATTAATTAAGACTTTTTTATTGTTAAAATTATTTAAGAATGTTATTGGTGTTGTTTTCTAAAATAATATTATATGCCCATATTTATATTTTCATCATCAATATTTATATTACTTATGTTATTATATTACAATTGTGTTTACTTCCCCTTTTTTTTTGTTGCAATTATGCTTTGATTTTGTTATATAGATCAGTGTTCTGATAATCGGATCGGACTGGACGGTTCAACCGGTTCGATCGTCGCCTGAAGTTGAAAACGGCTCCTTATCGTAGTCTTAACTGAATGAGTAGTTGGACCACTTTGAAACGGTAAAATTCTGGTTCGACCGTGCAAAATCCGGTTAAACCGGAATAACTTGGGAAGTGAACCGAATGGTTCACTTAAAATTAAAAAAATTGAACATTACTCTAATGTTTTATTTTATTTCGGTCCAAAAAATACAGAGATGTTACTTGAATATAGTTATATAAAATTTTATATTTATATATAATTATATATTTATAGATAAAAATTATTAATTATATTTAAAATCAACCGGTCCGACCGGACAACTTAATTGTTTAAACCGATTAGACCTAATATGGAAGTTATTCCGGTTTAATGTCCTCGGGTTTCATAACATTATACACAGACATGAGTCTATATGATGTGTAACTCAATTTTTTTCAATAAAAGGACTTTCTTTGTAGGCTTATCTATTGCTTTCATCAAAATATGCCTTTGCCAAAAAATCACCATTATAGTATATCTTGTGTTGAAGAAAATTAACAATGACATGATATTTTTGGAGTGTTTTTCTTGTTTTGGGTCAATAAGAGTTCTAAAGTGGCCATAGAAATTTTGGGAAAGAAGAGAAAAAGAGGAACATGCAGGGACCTCCATGTGATAAAAGTTTGGTCAATATTCTAAGTATGTTCAATTCAATTATGAATTGTAGTAATTGGCTTTCTGAAAATATGAAAAAATATGATTTTTCTAGAATGGACAATAGCACACATCTCAAAAAAAAAACAAGTACCGTCTCAATTAATGGAAAAACAAATACTTATTTTTCCTTATATTTTTTAATGACAAAAGTGTCATTTAAATATATATAAAAGATAAAATGTCTTAACATTTTATATTTTTATTTACTTTTTATAGTATTTATCTATTCATTAACGGAAAATATTTTACCCATATCTGGTAGGGTATCCCTATATTTAATCATCAGCAGCAAGCTGAATTGAAGAGACAATTTGGACATTTGAGAGTCACACATTCCAGCAAAGCTATATATAGCTATGACTTGTCACTAACATTTAAGCTTTAGGATATTTTTAAGGATTTTCTAAAAATAAGAAAAATATAAATAGATGAGTGTTTTTTGGAATTGTGTGTTCAAAAAAAGCAAAAGTTTTATGTTTTAGTTTAGTAAGAAAACCTACCCACTTTTGATTCATTTTTCTTAACCTTGAGGGTGGGGCTTATGAAAAACTTTTTTAATATACAACATTATCAAATGATACTTTTATTAGGTGAAGTCGACTACATCAATTGAACAATGTTAAAATATTTTATATTACATTCATCGACAAATATTAATCTAAATTCTTTTTAATAATTTTTAGAAATTCTTTCTAATCATTACCAAGTAGAATGCTTATACTTGGAAAATTTACGTGCATAGTGCAGTTTGACTACATTTAATATTGGTGTAATTTACGAGATTCTCATTTGAATGTCGTGCATGACAGATATGACTTCCATTTTTTATAATATTTTTTTAAATCTTGTACCCTAAATACGACTTCAATGTTAAATTATTAACAAAGGTATTATCTAGTCTAGTGGTAATTGTTATACATTTTAAGGTGGAGGTTCAAGGTTCATCACTCATTTATTTTTTATTTTTATTATTTTGACACATATTATTTGTACAAGAACTCTAATATAATATGTTTATATTCATTACCGAATTTTACACATTTCTATTTTATATTGTATATTCATTATTTATTTTGAGTTTTTTTAGTGTTATTCTAAACAATAAAATAGAAATGACACTCGTATGAAATGACACTCAATTTAAATTCTCATATGACACTCAAAATAAATAATGAATATGAGTGTCATTTCTATTTTATAGATTGTATATACATTATTTATTTTGAGTGTCATATGACAATTTAAAATAAGTGTCATTTTATATAATTGTCATTTCTATTTTATTGTCTATAATGACACTAAAAAAACTCATAATGAATATATAATATAAAATAGAAATGTGTAAAAATCGGTAATGAATATAATGCAATATGTGGATGTTGAACCTTGAACCTCCACCTTAAAATATAAAACAATTACCACTAGACTAGTGGACGTTGAAGTCGTATTTAGGGTATACGATTTCAAAAAATATTATAAAAAATAAAAGTCGTCTCTGCCATGCACGACATTCAAATGGGAATCTCGTAAATTACACCAATCTCGTGGACCCTGTGAACACCCAATTTTGTCCGGCCTATTCTATGGAATCAAAAAAGATTCGAAAAAATTCAAAAAATAAAGAACACAACTTATTATAATGCGGATGTACATTGTACATATGAATGTAAGTGATTGCATGGGCAACATTAATTGCTACCAGTTGCTAGACAATTGTAACTAAGAAAGGTTTTATTGGAAAGTGATGTGTTTAACAAAAAATTGTGATGTATTTCATCTGTGGGTTTTATTTCCTTGAATATTGTAGCACATCCCAAAAGCTGAAATATGTAGCACATAACAATAATGGATAAAAGTCATTGAATATTGTTTTTATCATCAGAATATGTGATTTCTGAATTTGATGACTTAACAAAGTCTTAGTTCTACCATATACATGTTCTCTAAATTTTCCATTACTAACATATTCGACAACAACAGTCTTCTCCTCTCCATGCTCTGTGTATCCAGGTAACCTTACAAGGTTCAGATGCTCAATTTTTTATAAATGCTAGCTGATGCATAGGAAGAGGGAAACTTCCATATTGTTGAACTTGTGTTGGTACCTTCCGATGATGAATCTGTTCAAACATACAAATCAGAGACCTTTATCAATTCAGCAATCAAAGAAATAAGAGAAAGTCCAGCAATGAGAAACAATTAAAAAGGCTTATAGCTGTTACATACCTCTAAATAACTAGCCATAAGTTAAAATCCTAGAGGGCAGCATTGCAGGCTGTTAACTTGCAATCAGGATAGGTGGCTGTATTAATGGGCAACCTTAAAGAGGGCATGAGCTGGCAAGAAAAAGGAATAGCAATCAGCCCATCTGAAATTCAGGAGGATAAATCAAAAGTCAATCATTATAGCTACCAAACTACAAATAAAAACCAAGAGTTAAGAGCTTCAGTTACGCTTGATATAATCAGTGGTTTTGATTAGTGTTAAAAGAGAGTAATTAGAAAACCAATAGTTATGGATGTTTCTGGCTATCAATGAGCAGATCAAGAGATTCTCTGAAAAACCCTTATAAAAAGGAACACAACACACATACAAGGGGGGGATACCATTGAGAAATAGATATCACTCATCCCTCTTTCAACCACACAAGTAACATAACCAGCAGTCCATACACTCATACCACAAAATAACCAAAAAGCTATCCCACATAAACAAGTAGCCAAAAGACACACATCCATATTTTTTTCCAGCATACATACACCCCGAATAATACATAAAGTCACACACTCCAGAGAGTTCCTACTTCTACCATCTACACACATATACAAAAATCACACACTCTCATGCCATTCCAACAGCCTACATCACGACATAACCAAAGACCACATATCCATATTATTTATCCCCTACACACATATCACCTAGCTACGTTCAGTCACCATATTTGCTATCCATCACGACAAATCGCATACATACCATACACAGAAAACCAGAAACATAAACACTAGTCATATACATAACACCATTATACAACAAGTATCAACGAAGATCAACAGAGTATCAAAAGGAGCCCTAACATAGAAAGCAGAAGGTAAAGAGCACACTCAGATATGATGCGGTGCGGGCATTAATCTTGCTACTTCATCTATCTTAAAGATGAATAAATTTCAATAATATATTTTAAACTATTTCAAAATATCTTTAAGATTTGATGCGGTGCGGGCATTAGTTCTTGCTGCTTCATCTATCTTAAGGATGAATAAAGTTCAACGGTATATTTTAAAACTATATCAAAATCTCTTTGGGATTTGATGCGGTGCAGGTATTAGTTCTTGCTACTTCATTTATCTTAAAAATAAATTTCAAACAATACATTTTAATTATTTCAAAAATATTATATATCTTAAGGATAAATAAATTTCAACACAGTAGTTTAATTACTTTCAAAATCTCTTTAAGATTTGATACGGTGCGGACATTAGTTTCTGCTGCTTCATCTTTTCTTAAAGAGAATACAATTTACATCAACTTTTCAAACAAACTAAACCAACACTAATTAATTTTCAAACCAGAACTACGTAGCCTTGATTTCCCTATTGCAGTTAGGGATACGTAGGAGCAAGTTGAATTCTTGTCAGGCACAACAATAAAAATAAAACATTTTGTTTTTATTTACTGAATTTTAATAAATAATTTTAAGGGTATAAAAGTTCATGTTATTAGCGAGGGTACCGTTTTAATACAGGCAGACGAGGTGCTAATACCTTCCCCGATCCGTAATCGACTCCCGAGCTCAGAATCTCTGATTAAAGACCAAATTATCCTAATTGGGCATGTTTAGAGTTTTCTACGTTTTAACCGCAAAAAACTTAGTGGCGAATCCAAATCAATTGGAAGAGGTAGAAATCAAGTTCGCCTCTCCCTAAGTCGCAGGGCCGGTATTCCAACCAAAAATCGGGTCGCGACAGACCCCATCCACGACATCCAAAAAACTACACCAATCTCGTAATTAAAATTAAAGCTACACCAAACGTGGCATAGTTTAGTCAACTACACTATGCACGTAAATTTTCCGCTTATACTTACCAAAAAGGAAATATTGTTGATTGCAGGGGAAGTGAGTCATGCTTTCAGGTGAGGTTTTCCTAGAATTTCAAGATTAGATATTTGAATTTTAAAATTGTTGTTTTGAGGTAAGTTTTAACTTATTAGTTTTGTGACTTGATGATTGGTCTTAAACTTATGTTAAATATAAATATAAAGGTTTTGATGTGATTGACATGCCATTAAATGTAGTCCATCTATTATCTTTTATAGTAAATTTAACTAATTTCACATTCTATTAAAGAAATTAGTTAAAATGCTAGTAATAAAAACGTGAAAAAATCTTCCATTGACTTGGCTCGATTTTATGAAGACACTAACATCATAAAAAGAAGTAAAGGAATTGAAGATATTGAAAACTTAGAAGCATGTTCAACACAAGATTAAGACTTATTAGCTTTCTAAGATATGTACTTATATCCTAAAGTCATTTACTTTAAGCATCACAAAATGCTCATAGGAAATCTTTTTAAAATTTCAAAACGCTAAGTAACAGGTTACTCAAGTTGAGTAATGGGTTACCGCGACAAGATAACTGATTACCCAAACTGAGTGGCAAGTTAGCAAGCAAAAATAACTCATAGTAACTGATTACTAAAATGAGTAACCGATTACCCACCTTGAGTAATTGATTACTCATAGTTGTTACAATAGTTTTTCAAATTCAAATTGAAAAAGCTTCTTCCAATATGAATGGATACTACTCCAATCGATTCCTACCTTCATGTATGAGTATAATGGTTGGTCGGAATCATATTTGAAGACACTAAGCATTGAATTTCGAATAACATCAATCACACATTATTTTCTACAATTTTTCAGACACTTTTGCTAACAACTTATTCAAAACTTTATGATATTTTTTTCAAATGTTTTCTTCCAAGTTTTATAAACTTAAACATTTGAGTTTTTATGTTATACTTTTGGTTACTGACATACAAGGATTGAGTATTGAATTTTTATATATATTTAGCAATCCTAGCCCTAGAAACAAAGTTGTTCATTACCAGTTTTTTATATATTTCACCATAGGGTGTGGTGTAAGTGAAAATTGATTTTAGAAATGGTGTACTTCTAAATTGATTTTATAAAGTTGATTTCATCATAGTAAAATCTCTTGTGATTGCAAGAGGATTACACGTTGTCTTTGGTGGACTAGAAGGTGAACCAATATAAATATCAGTGTCTCTATTTTCATTATACTCTTTTACATTAATGTACTTTATTTTTACATGCTTATATATTCCACTGCATCTCAACTCTAACATTTTTCTAAGTTGCAAAAATCTGCATTAAATGCTTAAAACCCATAAAACTAACTCATTTTCCTCTTAGTTTGACATCTTATCTTACAATTGGTATTAGAGCACATGTTGGGTAATTTATTCCCTAGATCCTAAGACATTAGATGACCTCTAAGTATTTTCTAGGAGAAGGTTCTCATATTCGTACACCTCCAAATTTTATTGGAGAACATTATGCATTCTGAAAAATTAGAATGTGACTTAAATATATGCAACTGTATAGACAAAGATCCATTTATTCCCCACATGATTGTTAATGAGGTTAAAAAACCTAAGCCTAAATGTTCATGGACCAATGAAGATAAAAATACAGTACAATATGACCTTAAAGCAAAAGAAATTCTAACATCGGCCGTAAGAGTAAAAGAGTTCTTTATAATGTCAAGTTGCATATCTTCTAAAGAAATGTGGGACAATTTAGAAAGTATACATGGAACCGGAGATGTAAAGAGGTTTGCCACTAACAGTGAAACATCAACATAAGGCAAGACTTCGCAGCTTTGTATGCAGAAAATTAGATCATATTAAAAGTGATTGTCCAGCCTTACAAAAGCAAAATACTTTCAGAAGAAAGAAGGACAAGAAGCACGAAAAAGTATACGATGTTGGTTCAAATGTAGAATGCAAAATTGAGAAACAAACACTTCTTTCCTTTATTGCTTCACACCAATCACATGAAAATTATGAGTTTAGTGACTTTGAGCCAAATGATAAATTTTCATATGATGAGTTACAAAATATTTTTAATGAATTACAGGAAGAATATGCTAGACTCTCTAGATATGCATTAAACAGAAAAACACAATAGAACTTCTTGAGAATCAATACAAAATTGTACAAAATGATTTTGATAGCTTAAAATCCAAATCAAATGATGATTGCATGAAATGTTAAAAGTACATGTATTTCTCTTGAATTAAAGATAAATGCTTTAAATCGGAAGATAATTAATTTCAAAGAGAGTACTCACAAGTTAGAAAACTTGTTAAGGTATCAAATGAATGCAAATATTCATAGTAGATTAGGGTACTTTTTTTTAAAGACAAACATGTGAGGTAAAGAAACCACTTTTATAAAAGCAAGTATTTCTTGTAAGCATGATTATGTTAAAAAAATTATGACAAGAAATCTTCCTATGGTCCTAAATGGAAAATGTATAAACCTACTCTTTTATTGAAATATACAATAGGACATACACCTAACACCTATCATATTAGAAAATATGTCATAACCAATGATCCATTTAGATGGGTTGAAAATGTGTTAACCCCGTATAACCCAATTCACATTGGATACCTAGAATATCATTATAATTTATTTTGCAGGTGTACTTCAAAATCATAAGAAAATATGTGGCATCTTGAAAGCGGGTGTTCAAGGTACATAACATGATATAATTCAAAGCTTTACAATATTCTCCAATAAATATAGATCATGTTACCTATGGAGAGAACAGCTAAATAAAAATCTTTGGTATAGGTAAATGTGTTATTCTTTTTAAATCTTAGGACTGGTATGATAGACTTACAAATTTTTTAAGTGAAAAGAGTTTTCAAAAGGGGAAGGTCGATACTACACTATTTATTAAGAAAATAAATCATCATACTCTACTTGTTAAAATTTATGTTGATGATATTATTTTTTGTTCTACTAATGATGATTTGTGTAGTGAGTTTGGTAAGATGACGCAAGGAGAATTTTGAAATGTCCATGATGGGAAAGTTGAATTAATTTCTTGGACTGCAAATGAAGGATGACATCTTTGTAAATCAGTCCAAGTATTGCATAGATTTACTCAAGAGGTTTGAGATGGACGAATGCAAAGCAATTGCCATTCCTATGGGAC